TTTTGAGAGGTTTTCGCTATAGGGCGCGTGCACTCGCCAGAAAGACAGAGAGAGACAGAGAGACAGAAAGCGAGAAATCCCCCCCAGGGGGGATGGCCACTCTGCAATCCCTTCTCCTCCATTCTCCTCTTGGGATCTTGGGCACGCACACACACGTGCCCAGCATGAGTTTAAGCCATTAGATCTGGGACTTGAACTGCAGTTGACTACATGAGAGTCCAGTGACATAGCCATTATGCCAACTGCTGGTCCCTCACTCCATTTAGTTTTAATGGGAAGCTTCTGGAATTTAATTTGTCCTTGTGGCTGGGAGCATCTCCCTCACTGTGGAGGCTGGGCTGACTGGGGCTCAGGACTGCTGACTTTGGGGTTCTGGCAGGCCTCCTGGCTTTGGCAGGACCTTGCTCTGACCCACCGCACTGTGCTGCCCCTCTCCCCAGTATCCTGTACGCAGACATTGTGGGCTTCACGCGTCTGGCCAGTGACTGCTCCCCCAAGGAGCTGGTGGTGGTCCTGAATGAGCTCTTCGGCAAGTTCGACCAGATCGCCAAGGTGAGCTGCGGCCTGTGCCCACCCTGGGCTGGTGATGGGACTCAGGGCTGGGCTGAAGTTCTGCCTCCAGGCAGCAAATGCTCCCAAGCACCACATGGCAGAGGTGGGGGGTCGGGTGGTGGCCTAAGCTGCCAAGATCCTGTCCCCCAGCATGTGAGACCAGTGGAGAGACTGACAGTTCACACTGGGAAGGACACACGGGGGCTCTGACGGGGGCTGGGAAGGCTGCCTGGAAGAGGAGATGGCTCGCATCCTCGTTACGTGCAGCCGGCAGCCTTGGCTTCCCTTGGGTGCTCGGCAGGAATACAGAATGCCTGGCCCTACCAGGCCTGCTCCTGACCAGATCCCGGGTGGACTGTGTGCCCACCAAAGTTGGAGAGACCTACAGAGAAACCCGAGCAGGAAAGGGAACAGTGTTCTAGCAAGGGGAACAGCATGTGCAAAAGCCTGGGGCAGAAAGCAAGCTGTGGGCCCGTGGAATAAGCACAGCTCAGTGTACGTGGAGCAGAGTGTGGGGGACAAGGTCACAGGTGAGAAGCGCAAGGACCTGAGGGCCCAGGCGAAGTGTAGGACTTGTTCTGAGGATGCCAAGCAGGAGGGGTACTGGGCAAGGAGGGCTGTTTATTTTGACCAAATGCCTGCCAAGCCCGGAGCTCAGATAGGACCTTGAACTATCCTTTAGTTGCTCCCAGCCTATGTGCTATATGCTTTGTAGAGCAGTGCAGAGGGCCAGAAGCCTGAGGAGCATTCAACCAGTCTGAAGTGGTCAAGGCAGACTCCCTGGAGGTGGCAGCCTAGAGACAAGTGTAAGCCTGAAGACAGTGGCTCCTTCTCCTGCTGCACGCAGGAAACACCAGTGTCAGTGCCCACTCGCATCAATTTATACGAGCCTACCAGGTGACCCTGTGTATGGGAGCCTAGCCCTGGTCTAGGAGTTGGTGGGCCCCACCCTTGAAAGAACATTTCATATCAGAACTGCTAAATAGAGGAGAAACTGGCTCCTTGGGGTGGGCTTCCCATCACAGGGGGTGAGCTGCCCATCGCAGGGAGTAACCAAGCTGCTACAGGACACTGCTGCCTGGGGCGCTCTGCAGAGCTGGCCCCTCCCGGGTGTTGTGGACTCAGTGTCTAACCTGGGCCAGCCGCGAGGAGCCCCCAGCATGGTCTGGGGACCTGGGTCCCAGGCCACAGCTGGCATTTCCCAGCCACAGAACCCAGGGACTGGCCTTTGCCCTCTAGGACCAGCCTTCCCTCTGCAGCAGGCCCAGGAGGCCCCATTGCACAGATGGAGAAAGGGAGGCTGTGACCGTAGCAGGGCCGGCCTCCCAGCCTGAGCACCCAGTCCCTGGGCAGAGATGGGCAGGGCTGGTTCCAGCCTCTTCTGCCAGTGGTCAGATTCCAGAACTGTCACCTCCCGAGAGCCAGAGGTGTCCACTGCTCAGGGCTGAGGCCCCAGCCCCAGCTTCTGAGCGTCAGAGGTGCAGCGTATCAGCCGCGTGGAGGCCTGGAGCATGTGGCTTCCTGAAGTCCCTGATGGCCAGCGTTCCGGGGGGCAGTCCTGAGCCTGGGCATCCAGGCCTTCTCCAGGCTGCCTGCTTTCTAAGAAAGCCACTGCCCTCGCATATGCAGAACTCAGTGTGCGACAGGGCCCAGCGGGAAGCACGTGGCACACACGTGGACTGAGTAATTGAAGAGGGCTCAGTAGAGGGGAGTGTGCACAGGCTGGGGAACAGGGCAGGGCTCCCATGGTGCCCACTGTGTCCGTGGCGCCCAGGGCAGTGGCCTAGTGGGTGTGGGAGGGAGGCTAGAACAGAGTTGGTATGGACTGGGGTTGAGTGGTGTGCTCGGGGCATGGCTGGCCTTAGTGACCCTGCAGGAGGGACTGGGGTGACAGCATGCTGCCCCCTGGGCTCCTTCCCTACTAGAAGCCAGAGGGAAGGTTGCCTGGTGGGTGCCCAGTCCCCTGAGGATCAGCTGTGTGGGTGAGGTGGGCTTGGAGCACACACGCAGGTGGCCTACCAGGGTCCCTTCTTCAGGGTCCCTAACCCCTACCTTAGGCCATGGGACGTGTGGCCGCTCATGCAGACGAGTTACAGAGGGCACAGCACGGCCTCGACTGGGGCCTCAACCAGCCCTGCTGGCCCTCTCCCCTGCCTGGGCGTTTCCCTGTGAGACCCCGGCCTGGTTTTCCTCTGCACTCTCCACTCCCCCGGCCCCAGCAGCAGAGCCCCCTCAGGGCTCCCATGACCCCTGCTGCCCCTTGGCTCCTGGCATCTGCCTCCTCTGTCCTCATCTCCACTCCACCCCAGCTGCCTGGCTGTGTCTCAGACAACTCTCTGGCCTCAGGGTCTTTGCCTGGTCCTGCAACACTCTCCCCCGACACTGGCATGGGTCGCTGCTTCATTCTTTCGGGTCTCTGCCCAGGTGTGGCCTCCTTTGAGTCCTCCTCCTGGAACTCGCTCTCTCTCGTCCCTCTCATCCTTCGCCCTGTGCATACCTGGTACACTATGGGCTGACTTCCCAGATCGGGTCTGGTCTCCCACCAGCAGGTGCACTCCATGGCTCAGGGACTTCTGTCTGCTTACTGCTCGGCCAGAGTCTGGCTCAGGTTGGCTCAAACATGACATGGGAGTGCAACAAAGACACCCCCCAGAGGCAGCTGTGTTCACCCTGATGCTTGGTTGGGGGTCCTTCCGGGGTGGTGCCCCCTGTTCCTAATCCTTTTGCCAGGCCAGAAGCAGCTGCTCGTGGCTGGTGCCCCAGGAGGCAGCACTGGCCAGGACAGAGCTTGGCTCCCCCTGGAGGGTGGGGAGGGTTGGATCAGGGACCCTGGACCCCAGGCGCCCACTGACCAGGCCTCTTGCTCATGCTGCAGGCCAACGAGTGCATGCGGATCAAGATCCTGGGCGACTGCTACTACTGCGTGTCGGGCCTGCCTGTGTCCCTGCCCACCCATGCCCGGGACTGT